AGATGTGTATAAATATATAGGCCTATATATGTATATATAGGCCTATACAATATATATATAGGCCTATACAGGCATATATATATATATATATAAACAATATATAAACAAATAATACTAAAAACAGTGTCGAATAGGAACATGTTGTAGTAATCGTATGAAGTATAGCTCATCAACTAAAAGTTCCTTTATTTCAGTTGTATGAAAAAAAAAGTGTCTGACGGGATTCCAACATGCAACCTCTCGCTATCAAGGCGAATATCAACCCATTTTTACCACGGAGACCTATTATAGGATATGGTATAACCCCCTGCACATTCTCATACAACTGACTGAAACGCTCACACATAGTGAAGCTGTGGTTAAGCTAGAAATAACATAGGCCTACTGTACATACCGGTACATTATTATTCATAGTATTACAGAAAGAGAGCACAAATCAATTATGCATACAATTAAAACGTATATAAAATGGGTTCATGTTACGTGTGATGTGCTCAAATGTCCAGTTAAACTTACCCATTGATTTTTCAAGTTTCCCTCTGCACGATTCCACTTTTCTATCCACGTAAAATACAAGAACAAGGTGACCAAAATTGGCCTCCGGGAAGGGGTCAATCGCAATAACAGCATCATGTGACCCACTTCTTCTCAATGAGCTGTCCGGCAAAACTGTGTTATATTTTCTCTCCGATCTCGCGCCAATCCTTGTGGGCGCCGCAATATAAATATTTATTGATTCTCTACTTGTTTTAGTTAGTGCTAAGCACGATGACTTGGTAATGAATTGGCTGTTTTGTGTACAGTCAAGCTGGTAAATAAATTCAACGGCCTGGGAAATCCAATAGTCCTGTGTATTCCTCGATGCATGTGGAATAAGTACGTTTGACGAGGTGTCATCGTCAACAACCACACAATCTGTAAAATTTGATAATCCAAAAACGTGAAGAAAAATATACAAAGTGCTAATTAATATCGTAAAGTACGCCATGATATCAGCCGATGGAAGAGTATTTTACTGTTAGTAAGACTTTTTTTTTCAAAACCTTTGCTTTACTCGTTGAGATATTTCAAGTAACAACACAATTTTCAGAGCACAACTTCCATCTCGTTGTATTTAACAAGCTTACAATTTCATCGAATCGTTCCATTAACAAAGCGCATCTGCAAGCGTAAACGAATACGTCGTGTTGATATCAAACTAGAATGTAAATGGCAAAACAAACTAACTGCCTTTTGAACTACTCCTCAAAAGTAATAGCGGCACATCAAAGAGAAGCGAATACTTAAAATACAAATAAGGCGGTTAAGCTTTTAAAACTAGTCATGCGATGAATTGAAATGAGAATTCTGAAGATACACCCATACCATACCCCAGTGTGCAATCTTTACAACCAATCATTTTCCTTCTAGCGCTCAATAACGTGCGTATTGCTTGCCGTTCATCCAATCAGAGTCGTTGCCAAAGTACAACAATCTTCCATATCTGCACCTGTGGATTGTCAATCAACTTACGAAAACATTACTTTAAATATAATAAGAAGCAAGAAAACGAGCATCGCTTTGCTACAATTTTATATATTATTTATGACAATAAGGTTATAGCTTGTGGCCTACAGGACCTAAGTGTAATGCGGTAAGCTTGTCTTCGCAGTCTCAGCAAAAGGAAATAACCGCTTGGAAATTAATAGAAAATATACGAGCTGTTATAAAATAGCATTAATAATTGAATCTGCATATTTTAGCGTAACGTTGAAGTAAATTCGGTCACCATGGTAACATATTGTTTTCTGTTAGAATTTCAGGCATTGTGACTCTTGAATGTCTCGAATAATGACGTCTCATATCATGAATATCTATGAAACTTATCGTAAAAATAAGAACAAATCGAAAATAAATTATTAATTAATTATAAAAATATTAATAATTTTTGAAAGCCTGTAGGCCTATATCCATATCAAGTATGTTTTTAAATGCATATTATCTTCTTTTTTTTTTTTTTTTTTTAACTTTGTATATTCTAATTGATTGAAATATCTTGCACAGCCAAACAATTGCAATGGGTTTTTACACTTATCACAATTGTTTAGGTGTTTACGCCAAAATTTAAAATGTTTTACATAAATTTATAGAGAAACATTTAATAATACAGTAATATACAGGTCTATATAATGATATGCTGATAAATTAAACTTACTATATAGGCCTATTGCCCCAATATCAATAAACCTAAGTAATCTAATGTAATCTAAATAGGTCTATGTCTTAAATACCAAATGAATTTACGATAATAAAAAATGGAAATCTAGTGATTGTGATCTTAATAAAACCTACAATAATTTGATTTACTATTATTCAATTCAATATTTTGGCAGCAAATAGCTAAATTGCATCAAATTTACAATTAAAATAATATATACACTAAAAAGACATAACAATTAAAAAAAAGAGACAATAGGCCTACAATTCAATACACACAAAATATAATTTTTTCATTTCATTGCATATTACGCAATTAACCGTAAGAAAAAAATTGTCCATGGAAAAATCATAAGGGTGTATACAGGTACCATTTGTTCTCATCATAGTTCAGTTGGTAGAGTATCCGAACGGTAATCAGAAGGCCTTGGGATCGAATCCTAATTGGACTCAAATATTATCGCGTTTATTTAGATAATTCAACTTGAGATGCAGGCGAAAAGTGTTAGGCGCTTCATTTAAAAACATAGGTTAATTCAATAATCATATTTTTTGTTTCAATACAAAATGGGTACTAAATAAAAGTGTTGATTTTTTAATTTTGAATGATTAACTGATTTCATTGATATTTTAATGCTACGTTGAAAAAATTAGGGCCTACCAAAATCATACTTCCAAAAACAGAGCCCAATGGAACTAAATTGAGAGCGTCAAGTCGTTTGAAGACGTATGATTAAAAAAGGAGGCTTTTTGCCTAGAGAAGACACAATAAATAATAATTAAAAAATGAAACGCCAATAGGGTATTTGTGTAGTTTAGGCGGAAGGATAATAGTCCTCTTTAGCTAAAAGTTGACTAAGGGTCAGCAGAAATACATCATCATTTAAACACGATAGAGGAGTAACCTTAGGCCTGCATACGCGGGTGTGTTTTTTTGTAGAGATAACGTGCATAGGCATATTAATCAAAATGTTTTTGTTTAAATGTCAAGATCGTTTCCGGCATGAATGCCTATTACACAGACTGACGTTTAATGATGTTTAAGAAATAGTATTTTCTTATCTCTAACACTTTTACCTATGAAACATACCCTTTACAAACCCTTAACAGGACTATTTCAGGGGCGGATTTAGACGGAGGTGCCCCCCCCCCCTTGGGAAAGTACAAAGAAAAAAAAGAAAAGAAAATGATCGTCAAAAACGCCCTAGAGGTTATTTTCGTGCGTCTAGAAAAAAAATTCGGCATACCCTCGAACCCCCCTGGATGGTGTTATCTCCATCGGCCCCGCTTTGGCCCCCTCCCCTTTTTTCGGACATCTTTCATTCGCCCCTGTATATCATACCATATGCGGGACCATGCGTTATGTATGATAACCATATTTTGTGCTTCAGCACAAAAGTCGACTAAAAAATGCGTTCATTTATATATAGACTTATATACATATATAATTTATATAGGCCCTGTATATAGACATAGGCCTATTGAGAAAACGTACTTTCCGTCATTTTTTTTTAATTATTTCAAACAAATTGTGTGTTAAATCAACCCATATATCCGATTTTCATTAAATATATATATATATATATATACTGTCTCTTATACACATCTAGATGTGTATAAGTATATATATATATATAGGCCTATTAATATTATGCATTATGCCATTGTATATATTAGGCCTATATAAGTAATCAAATATTGTTAGAAAGCTAATTGTTCCTCATATAATATTAGGCGCTCTAAAACGTGATGCTTCTGACTTCATTTCATCGGTTTCAGCAACCTCTTCTATTTTTCTCCTCAAGACTTTTTCCCACGGTTTCATTTCATAGAGAAAGTCATAAGCAATACGGCAAATGAAGAAAAGTAAGAAAAAGGCATGCATGAGAAAAGAATAATAGGCCTTAAACATGTTTCTGTTGAGCGATAATCATAACCAGCGCGGCCAAAGCGACGTCTCGAGTTGTTGTCATTAATGAACTTTTCAATTTGTTCTGAAACTCAAAGTGACAACAGTAACAGTGTTGGTTCCCTGAAAACCTGGCACATCTTAGACGCCGCGTTACACTTCCGCTGTGATAATAGGCAGCACCCAGCATGTCGACTATTTACGGCAATCTTGGCATGGCAGGGATTCATAGGCTAGTTTGAAAGACGACCAAGGAACATGCGATCATATGGCCTCTGCCCCGATCCTCTGTACCTAGATAGACCCGACGTCGCTTGTTCGGTTACTTTCAGCCTATGAGAGGTACCATAGCTGACCAGCGGATGTCGGCATCGTAAGTTGCCGTCATTAGTATCAAAACTCATTACTTTAAAAACCGTAAATAATACTACGAAATATCAACAAATTTTGTGACGATAATACCGAAAAAGAAACTATTTTGAATGATCAATGTGAGCAAGCTTGTCAACGGTGGTTCAGAGGTGTATCCATCAATAACTCATCAATTCTTTTTTATTTATATCATTGTGAAAAGGCCCTAGAAGAAATGTCTTTGGAAAAAATGTGGACCATTAATTTTTTTGTGGGGGGTGGGGAGGGTAGTACGACCTTCCCGACCCACTCTGCATACATCCATGTCATGTGGTTGTGACGTTGATCATCGTGGTAATGGCGCAAGCGGTTGTTTTAGCAACACACACGAAATTTATTGTTCTTAGGCAATTGTTGATGTTGACACTGTAATTAAGGAAACCATATCTAACTTATCATCCCTTCTTTATTGATATTGGTAATGTCTACATTAGCAAATCATATGTAGCTGACAGAAAGAAAATAAAGATCGCTGTACGCGTCATGTAGATGCAATCTGTGCACCGGGTGGGACTGGATGATAAATCTCTTGCGTTTTGAACTTTAGTTCAGTGGCAGTTAAGGGTTCAGCAAAGAGAACAATTCACAAGGATAAGGGTGAAAGTGCATGTAATGTAATGGTAAAGTACTAGGGGTAGGGTAACCCTGATTTGATTATAAAATATGTCGCGCTGTCGTTTTGCCAGAAGTGACTGTACTCTCGTGAATCAAGCACCCAATTTGAGATTGTATGTTCCTTATCATTTTTTGAATAGAAATGTATAGTAAAGTTCAAATACATTTCTATTATTACGTTTATTGGTACGATGATTATAACAATGTAAATGTATGATTACGTAAGTGCCATGGATCGATCGATGGATGGAGGAATGAATGGATAAATTAATAAAAACGAATGAAAATTTAAAAAAATTATTAAATATATAGAGAGATGTATGAATCTGTGTGAATTAATGAATGAACGAACTAACACAGGCGCGGATACATGAACGAATGAATGAATGATCGTATACGCGAGCAATTAAAGGACTGATCAAATTAACGGATGCTCATAATGATAATAGGCTAGTGATGATATTGATTATGATAATTATGATGATGACGATGAAGATGATAATGATGACCGTGATTAGGGCGTTTGTGGTGGTCACGATATATGAGGATAAATGATGATGATGATAATGACGATGATGAATACCGGTAGTTTACAAAACGATATCAGTATTATAGGCCTATTCAGACCCTAACAGCTACCACATCAAATTTCTTAGTAAGCACGCAACCGAAGGATTGGCGACCACGGTCAGACATTATTAGCATCAGCTATCCAATCAAAGACATGCCGAAAAAATTACTGTCATATTCTATCATCCATGATGTTGCATGAAACTGGAGCCCGAATCAAGCCGACAATGTCAAGATTTTGTTCGCCTGCAATTTGCCACAAACTCCACGTGCGGTACCCGTCGATTATATTGAAGGCGTGGGTATCGTAGCCTAAAGAAATATTTATTCCAAAGTTTGCATTGCGTGATTTTTAAGACAATTTGAAACAATATTGACAAGGTGTGAATGATATAATACGTTTGAATGACTTACTGTGATATATGGTAACGATCATAAAACACCGATACTGTTACTGATGATCGATGACTATCCCACTGCCCCCCCCCCACCCCGCTCCTGCAAGCTTCTCTGTGCTCCACTACGTGTATGAGCGTTTCAATCAAGTGGATGAGAGAAATCACATGGTGGTACGTATCCCACCTTTACGACTGTCTCTTATACACATCTAG